TCGGATGTACGCTCATAACCCAAAGATTGTCCAGCGTCGACTTTCGCTTGTTCCCATTTGTCACGCTTCAGCTTCTCAGCATCGGTTAGTTTTCTATGGGCCTTGTGGCACCCGTCCTCGGGTCCTCGACCATTCGCGGGGTCTCGGGAGTATGCGTAACACGGAATATTACTGTCTTTCCCACGCGACTGACTTCTATTCTTCTGCTGTTCTCCTTTCCCTCGGTTCCCAGTCGGGGTCTGGGATCGCCCCAGCCCCTTTTCGGCCCCTGTCCTTCGATCTGCCTCTCGGGTTCTATCCCGGGCAGGGGCGGCGCTGGACTTTCGCCCCGCGCTCGGCTGAGCCGGCGCGGCGTTCTTGGGCTTCTTGCGATTGAAGGGGCAGCCTTTTCCTGCGCACGGGCAAGTTTCGCCTTTAGTAACGCATCTGCAGGTGGTTTCACCTTTGGTTTTCCCGCTTTTCATGACGTCCGAAAATTGCCCCAACTTAGTGGCAATCTCTGCCGGGGCGGCTTTGTTGCCTGCATTCCTCCGATTGTCGTTGCCTCCGCCGAATCGCGCTTGTCGGGCACGTTGGTTCAAGGTTCCCTCATGCACGCTGATATTCCATTCTTCTTTTTCTCGCAACATCATTTCTTCAATCTGCTGCATTAGCCACTCGTAAGTTTTGACACCTTGTCCCGGCCTGTCTCTTGACAACTCATATAACTTACATACATCATCCAGTTTTTTCGGCTTTCTGCATTGCTCAAGAAAGTGCGCATGAATCGAGGCCCTCATCTCATCGGACGGAGGCTTTGCGCCATAAAGCTGTTGATATACGTCTGTCCATTCATTGTAGAAATGATACAGGTCAGCATCAGGCTTGCGCGGGTCCATTTTTACTTTAAAGAGGTCACGCGAAATGCGATGCTGCCCCAACTCCGACCTCACCGAACACCAGTGACAAATCGCTCGCACCATCTCGCGTCCAGTCACGAGCCTTCCCTCGGCCTGGGCGCTGAATTCCATGCGAGAAACCTGTTGAAGGAAATGAGTATGATGAGGAGGCTGGTATCGAGTCTTTCGCATCTTGCTGAATTTCTCGATGAGATTCGTTGCGATCATAAGGTCGAGACGCTGGAATCGCCCGGCTTCCTCGAGTTGCTCATCCTCCACAGCTGGGCCCATAGCCTCGGCAATCCAGTGCTGCGCAGCCTGGCTCTCGGGCGATGATCCAGCGATGGCGCGTGCTGCGTGCATCTTCCACTCACGAATGTTCGTAACATCGGGGATGTCCAACAAATCAATTTTCTGATTGTTACCGACCTGTCTCCACTGATCCAAGGGCGCGCTCTCGCCAATTACAGTCGAGTCGCGCGGTCCGCCGGGGCCATGACGCCCCCTGCGCCCACCCCCGCCATCACAAGGGTCTGACCCTCCTGGACTCCCTGGAGGCGATCTTCGCGGTCCTCTGCTGCGATCATCTTCGCGTGAAGATACGATCTCAGTGTTGGGAGCGTCGCTCTTGTCATAATCTTCTCCGCCCTGTCCTGCATTGCCGGACGACTTAGTCGCCGTCGTTCCCTTAGGACCATCTCCGTAGGTTGTGCGGAGGTTGGCAAAGGCGTTATTCCCATTAGGCCCAGCTAGCCGCATCCCAGCAGGGAGTCCACTATCAGCAGCACTCGGCTTAGCCGGACCTGCAAGGGCAGGTCCTGGGACATAATAATGTTGCTGCAACAACGGTCTCAAAGGGGTTTCTTGTGAAAGCAACGGAAATCCGAACGAATTCGATGTGAGTCCGACTTCACGTTTGTTTCAGTATACGGATTCGGGTCGGCGATGATAGCCTTTTAAGCCTCAGCATTCCTGTCTCTCTGTTAGCCGCGTTCGATGCAATCTCTTCTTCTCGCATGTTAGCCGCTGACCTTTCACTCTTCCATAGGTCGCATCTAGAGCATCCCCCCGTACTCGCATCGATATGTTTGTTGCAGGCCGAGCTGCCACATCCGACGCAGTTGTCTGTCTTTGGTTGAAAGCAAACGGCACAAAACTGGTCCACGGGAAGCGTGGTCCCACTCCCATCGGGAGGAGGGCGCATGGCACCTCCTACCAGCATGGTCGATGCTCCCGCATGTGCCACGGTCGCCTGGTCAAACTGCGCGGGGGCAGGCGCGATGTTCAACGACTGACCCGTCGAAAAATTGTGCATGTTCGACCCGAACGGCTTAGCCAGCTGGCATGTATTGTCGCTCGACGTTTTACGCTGAAGAGACGATCTGGCTTCCTCATGCGTTTTAGCTCTTCTATATAGAGATTGGTCTGGTGGTTTATCTTCGCAGCTACAGCTTGGGCGTTGTCTGTTTCCAGCCTGGCGGCTTTGAGCTCTTCTTGTAGTCCCCGCTTTTCTCGTTCCGCCACGGCTGTCGCGATTTGTTCTCCTTCTATCTTGGCCACCGCAACAGCAGCGGCAACCGAATGAGCGCCCACAGATTCTTCGTTCGCCATCATGACGGTCCGTCTCTCCGAAGTCAATAATTCTCTGTATTTGTCTTCTGATTCCCTCTCCACTTGCCATTTCACGGCCTCAGTCTGGTTGTACAGGTGTTCTATAAACGCTTGTTCAGGCTCTCTAGCGGCCATGGCTAGGGCGATCCGTTCAGCCTCAAACGTTTTCCTGGCTTCGATCACAGATTCCATTAATTCCCCCCTGTCCATCCGAGCTCTTTCAGCCAGAGTCGCCTCAGTAGTCAGAAGCTCTCTCTGGGTGTTAGCCTCTGCCAGCCTGGCCTGGTCTTGGATAGACTGCAAGAAGAGATACGTGCAATTGCGTTCGTCCATTGAGTAGCACTCCGCGCATAGCCATTGCATGTTACACTTGTTGCAAACGTCCGAGCAGTTCCTGCACACTGGGTTCCTACATGCGCCTTTGGGCTTGTTGGCCTTTCCTGGGCATCTGTTCTCCGCCTGAGGCGCACAGCCAGGATTCGGATTCCAACATACCTCCATCATAGAGACTGTACTGTTGCTTCTAGGGGTAGACCTCGCCCCTGATCTTGGTATTGGGTCTTCCCCTGCTCGAAGCGTTTGACCTTGGGCGAGCAAAAATATTTTCTGGTGGTTTGGGCGCATATATGAGTTCCTCATCCTTCTCGTCTCGTTTGATTAGCTGGGACTAACTATTTTTTGTTGTCCGACCATTTCTTCGTCCTCAACAACAGCCGGAATGGTGCGTTGCCACTCGCCTGAGGTGGTGGCGTTACGGAAGAAGCCTTCTTTTAATGGCGAGACGTTTAGCTCATAATCCTCATTCCGTTGTTTCTTGAGGTTCGGCGCAGGCGCTCGCCCGGTGGACTCCCTCTCATGCTTCGTTTGAGTCTCCGCCCTGTCCGCCTGAGGCGTCAGGATACTAGTGTCTTCATCGGATCCATCTGGAGACAAGCTTTTGTCACGAGCAGCGATGTCCTCATCCAGCATCACGGACAACGCTCGGCTCAGGGAAATATCATTGTTGATACTATCAAAATTTTCTTCCATGGAGTATATTTCGTGATTTTTGTCCAATGGGCCGTCGCTATCCTGACCAAATTGCCCGTTAAGTGCTATAGGGGCTGGGGCATTGATGTGCATACCCACCCAATCTATGGGGATGTTAGGATACGCGTTCGGATTCCCTTGGGCTTCTCCTGGCCGGCTGGCTTCGCCAGCGGCAATAGCGGTAGCCTGTGGAGCATTCTGAATGGGACTTATCGACTCCGTCGAGTTGGCACTTAGCTTGGAAGAGAATGCACCTCTTCTGGGCCTTGGCGTGACGCCTTCTCGCCCGTGAGGGTCAGGGGTTTGCTCACGATCACCTATCGGAGCCCCTACTGTGGGCATGTCTACCGACATTTCGGTTATCCCATCAGTAGTTCCCCCCCTGGTGACCTGATCGGCGATTGTCGAAGGAGGGATTCGGTCTTGAATAGGACCGATTGTATCTGCTTCGTGCCCATCATGTTGTTCAACGCGCCAATCTGCGCTTCTCGAGATATTAGACACGATGTTAGTCTCATCATAGCTCTCTCCCGCAGCGACCAAATCGCGGGGCACGACTTGAAGATTCCCTTTTGTATCTGATGGCCCCGCGTCGACTGACTCGCGCGTTTCGGCTGATAACCAGTCTTTCCTCTGAGAATCGGGGTAAGAAGACAAAGGAAATAAGATCTCATGTTCACTTTGCTCAGGGAGAACGGAGGCGAGATGAGACATTGCTAAGACAGATATCCGTTAAGCTAAACCACTCGATCAGGAATAGGAAGGGAGGAGGAAGGCCGAAAACGGACGACGACGGATCGCCCGCGCGCCCCAGCGCGCTCCTTTTCTCTCCTGCCAGCCGAGTTCGGCTGGTTCGAGCAGTAACACAGCTGCAGAAACGCAGCGTCAGTACACGCGGACAGTTCGTTGCATGCGATCTAAGTTACCTTCTACTTGAGTATTAGGCGGAGAGGAGCATATTTACTCCTCTTCCTCCTCCTCCTCCTCCTAATCCTCCACCTCCTTACAATCCTCATCCTCCTCGCTCGAGCGTCGAGTCGACTCGAGAATCGGGTCGGGTCGAATCAGCTTGATCGGCGTCGAGTCATCGATGCATCGGCGGGCTTCGACTTGTGCCGCATCGCGGGTGCATCGGCATGCATCGGCGATGTGTTGCGACCCTCTGGCCCCTCTGATTACTCCGGCCATGTTGGAGCATCAGTAATTGTATGTGAATGTGAAGGCGACCGAATTGGATTCAAATTATTCAAATGATCGGGGATGGATAAAAAACGGGAGGGGTTAGCCGCAGCCACTTATTCCAACTCCCCGCCGCAGATCCGCAGGCCCCCCCCTTCGGGAGGGCAGCCTCGGAAGGAAAGACGGAGGAGGGGGAGAAGGATGGATGAGGGAGGGGGAGGGAGGGGGAGGAATCAGGGAACAGGCTAGGGGGTGTCAGGGGGCTGTGGGGGTTCACGTGGGGTTCTGGAGTGTTCCGCCGGGACCTGGAAGTGGACATATTGCCATCCGAGCGCATGTGGTGCACCCCGCCGTCGCCAGCCCACACTATGCCGGCGGACCCCCCGTCTCCAGAGAAGGCGTGGACAGGAGTACCACGGTACACCTCAGGGAGGGCGCAGACTGCACCACGACACCGATCTCGGTCAGGGCAACCCTGGGCCAAAAGATCCTGGCTCCTGGGCTACCCAGCTTCGAGCCTCGCGCCGGGCGAACCGCGAGGCGCAGTTATCCTCGCACTCTCGCGCGGCCCCCCCGGAGGTCAGAAGGGCAGACCCCTGGCCCTCACCACGGAACGCGAGGCGCAATCATCTTTCGCGCCTCTGCGGGCGACCTGGTGATCGGTGTATGCACCGAGAGACTCCCAAGAGTGCCCAAGGATGCCCCTGGCATGGCTCCGGCCCCTGGAGGGCCCGAAGGCTAACTGCACCGTGCAACGCGCCTCGGGGGAGCCCAGCTCCGAAGAGGCTCCCACGCCGGCCTTCCAAGAGCCCATCCCAAGCGAGTCCTCAAGCAAGTTGAACTGTGAAACTTGCTGTGGCGGAGCGCAGAGCCACAGCTCCCGATGAGGCCCTTGAAGGCCGTCGAAGGACCAATGGGGCCCTCGAAGGACCAGGAGGCCTCGGCCCTCAGGGCGTATCAACGGATGCCAGGCCCGGGACTGGCCTGGCTGGTCAACATCGGCGCTGGCGGGAAAGCTTGGAGCCCACCGAGAACCGGGACTGCCGGGGGCAGTGGGCCAACTGTGGCCGTCCCTGTCTGGTTGTCCACGTCCACGGTGTGGACCTTCCCGTCGCCGGCCCAGTAGACCTTGGCGGCGCGTAAGAGGGGTCGGGGCGAGGGGAAGGCCTTCTGAGAAGGTAGAGGAAACTTCCCAGTGCAGATCAGAAGCTTCGCGGCTTCGAGGAAGGATTCTTGGAAAGTGGGGGGACGCCCAAGGACTTGTCTGCCGTCTTCGGTGGCCGTCCCCCCTCGCGCGACCCCTTCCTGCGCGCCGCCCAAGGACCGTGAGGTGCCCAGCTCGCCCAGTCAGGCTCAGCGGCGTGCCGCTCGACACGCCCGGCGCGCTGAACTTCGAATACTTCCAACTGGCTCTCCACCCGGCACTTCCGGCGCGGAAAGACCGCTGCACCATGTGGACGCACCCTTGCCCCGGCCAGGCCACGACGTCGGACTCGTCCGCCCTGGCGGGCCGCTCTTTACCCCGAGGGCGGCGCGCTGTCTTCTGCCATGAGGAGGGGCGGCGCGGGAGCGAAGCGTCGACCGCATTCTCCCCGTTCCTCTGGTATCCGCCTCCTCTTCCCCCTCCTCCTCCCGTCCGTTTAGTTATTCCTGCCTCAGCCCGAAACCAGTCGAAACAGCAGGCTGGGCGTTTCGCTTCAGTTCCTCACCATCTACAATCCGGACGTTGAAAATATGCTAGAAAGCTTCCCAGGTGGAGGGCAGGCCACTTTTGTGGTTCTAGTGTAAGCGCCGCGCACCTCCGAAATCCCACCAGCTCTCTGGGCGTAAGTGGTTTAGGGAATTTCCTCTTCCAACCTCATTCTTCCCTACCCCTCCCCTGGACCTGGACGGGGGGTTTCGCGACGCGTTGGAGCGTCCAAGAAGCCCCAAGACGGCTCCAAGAGCGCCTCGGAGAGCCCAAGATGAGCTCCAAGCTGGCTCAAGATAGCCTACGATGCCTCAAGATGCCTCCGAAGATGCTCCAAGAGGCCCCAAAGCCGCCCAAAGACGGCTCCAAGATGCCAAAGAGCTTCCCAAGGAGGCCTCCAAGAGGCCCAAACCCTTCAAAATCCGAGGGGAAACTAATGATGTGTGCCTTCTCGCCTTTTCGCTTCCGATGGCCATCCGAAGCCTCAAGATGGCTCCAAGGGGGCCCCAGAGGGCCCCTACGAGGGGCCCCTGAGAGCCCCAGGACGGCCCCAAGAGCGCTCCAAGAGCGCCCCAAGAGGGGTCCAGGAGGCGAGTTTAGGAGCTCCCGATGGGGGGACCGTGATTAGGGACCCCCCCCTTTTTCTATCGATGTCCTCCAAAATGGCCCCTAGAGGCGCCCAGGAGGCCCCAAGAGGCCCTAAGATGGCCCCGTGATGGCCCCATGATGGCCCTAAGAGGCCTCCAAGAGGCCCCCAAGAGGACCCCAAGCGGCCCCAAGAAGCCTCCCCGAGGCACCCAGGACGCCCAAGAGTACCTCAGGACGGCCAAGAAACCCCGAAGACGTCCCAAGACGCCTCCAAAAAAACGCCCAATGGACGTCGTTTCTGGATGGGCTGGTGGGGATATTTTTTGTCGCAACCGCAAGCGAGAGCGCAGGCGGCGAGTAACGGAACGGGCGGGCCGCGCGCGAACCTAATTGCCTAACGCGACGGCAAGCAGAGGCATAGGCGGCACCTCAAATCACTGGGGCGGAGGGGGTGCGGGCTGCAGCTGCCAAGAACCAGGTCCAGGAGCGCGCTCATGCAATTAGCCGACCAAGGCCGGGGCGCGGCTGGTGAGGATACTTTTTGATTCGCGGTTCCAAGGCGGATGACAGGGAGCAAACACAACGTCCGGGGCGCGTGACGATGTAAATTGGCCACCGAGGCGAATGCACGCGCAAGGGACAAAATGATCCTCATTAAGACGCAAGCTGCGTCGGCAGGAGACCGGCCCAGACATCCCAACAGGTGGGGACGCAGGCGCGGCGACCGGCGGTGGAACGGGGGGGAGAAGTCGCCCTTTCGGCGCCAAACTCCAGCCGAACCACACTCGGTGAGGCCAGGAGGCGGGGGGGGAAGAAGAGAGCGAAAGCGAGCGACTACCACAGGCTCACTGCGGCACCCCGAGTCAACGATGGTGCGGCGAACGAGGCCTGACTCATCAAGGCTCACTGAATCTGAAGTGTAGCTGATCCGCGACTAAACGCAAAGCAGTAGGAAAACCACTGGGGTGCGCTCACGAGGCTGAGCCACCTCCAGCCAATGCCAGTGCGTGCACATCGTATCCGACTGCTGGTGAGGATACTTTTTTGCTCGGCGGCTCCAAAGAAAAGCCCAGGGAGCGGTCACAACGTCCGGGCCGCGGCGCAGCTGGTGAAGATACGCGAAGCGTCTAGAATTACAAAAAAAAATCACGGATGGAGGGCGGGTGGTTTTCAACATGTGGTTCTCGTTCTAGCGTCGCGCACAGCCGTTTGACAAAATGCCGCGCACATCCGGTTCAAGAATAAGGTCCCAAGAACTGTGTTTTGGCGCGAAGACGGACTGTCAGGGCGTAGCTGTTACATCGATTCGCGGCGTTGACGTCCCAGGAACGGTGCTCTGGCACTGGTCAGGATCATCCAGAAACAACACTAGCGGTGATTCGCGGAGTTGGGGTCCCCCAAAAAATGTTCTGACATTGTCAAACATTTTCATGTGGTTGGTTTCCAACGTGGCACTTTCCGCCGTGACGATGAACTTTTGGAGGGCACTATGTCAAGGGTTTTTGGAGAGAGGGGGGGGCATTGCAACATATATGGTGAATCTTGGGTGTGCACTCGTCCTCCTCCTCCTCCTCCTCCTCCTCCTCCTCCTCCTCTTCCTCCTCTTCCTCTTATTCCTCCTTTTCCTCATCCGTCTTCTCCTCTTCCTCCCCAATCCCTGTTGTTTTGTTGTCCGTTCCTCCCTCCTCGCTCCTCCCCCAAGAGCTGTGGCACCGACGTGGGCAAGAAGGGGACGGGGAGGAGCGAGGCGGAAAGGGAATAAAGTTCGTGCCCCCTCAAGAGAGAAAGGAAGCAAAGAACAGACACAGAGGTCGCCCACTTTGGGGCAGCCCATTCGGTGCACGGCCGCCGTGACAACAGGGGCCCCGTCCAGCCTCCACACCAGGGCGCGCGGAAGACAGAGGCACCAGCATCAGGGCAAGAAAGAGTCGAGCGGCCTCCAACAGTCTGCCCACTCCGAAAGGCCCTCGTAATCGCATTTCAAGCCCCAGTCCCCGCCCAAACCCTCCCCACACATCAATGAGAACCTCCGAAATCCAATCAAGAAACACACCCGGCAATGACGCCTGAAGGCACCGCTCCTCAACCTCCCTCATCGCGTGCAAATGCCTTCCCCTCGCACGATCCCCCCGCCCCCAGCCCATCGATTTGGTCCCCAGCCGAAGCAGCCCCACCAGCAGGATCACGAAAGCGTCCGAAACCATACTTGATCCAAACGCACCGTGATGAAGCTCGCGCGCGTGAGCCAACTTCTGCACTTGGCACTTTCACCCAAAGAAATTCAGCAACGCAAAAAATCACCCCGATCTTTTTGGTTCGGCCAGCGCAAAAACTCGGGACCGCGTGCTTCCCGGCGGCGAAAAGCCGGGCCAAACCTCAACTGATGCAAGCATTCCCCACCTCAAGCTCGCCCCTCCCTTTCGCGCCGGCACAAGGATTGCCCAAAGGGCAGGCCCCCGAGCGAAGCGCCACCCGCCCCCCTCGACGTGCGACCCCCTTTCCACGCCGGAAGGAAGAAGGCCCCACCATCCAGCCCCTTTCTTTGGACGAATCCCAGCCAAGCGTCCAGCTCATGGTTCGCCCGCTCACCCTGGGACATGCGGGGCACATGATTTCGACCTCCGGGCTGACGCACTGGGCACAAAGCTTCTGATGAAAGCCACCCTGCGCACGCTGCCCCTCGCCAGCAATGAGGAAAAAAGGTGGCGCACCCTCGTGCGTTTGAACACTGACTTGGCCGGCGGCTGGCTCGCCGCGCGGAGCAGCAGGCGGCGGGCGCGCTACCTCGGCCGCTGCCCGCGCTCGCTCACAAGTAGGAGGCCCGGCGACGCTGTCAACAGCGCGCCCACGCTTGCCAGCAAAACGATTTGCTGCTGCAGCTGATTGTCATCTCTCTCTCTCTCTCTCTCACTATATTGTGTCTCTCTCTTGCTCTTTCTCTCTCTCTCTCTCTCTCTCTCTCTCTCTCTCTCTCTCTCTCTCTCTCTCTCTCTCTCTCTCTCTCTCTATATATATATATATTAGCTTATCTCTCTCTCGCTCTCGCTCTCTCTCTCTCTTTCTCTCTCTCTCTCTCTCTCTCTCTCTCTCTCTCTCTCTCTCTCTCTCTCTCTCTCTCTATATATATATATCCGCCGACCCTGTCGGCGTGTGTGAGGGGCTTTTCCGTTCGAGACGTCATCCCCGTTGTTCGTTGGTCGTCGTCTGTGTCGTCCCCCTTCCTTGCGCCTCCCTTTCCGTGGGCCCGTCGCCACTCCCGCCCTCTTTCCCAGCAGGGGCCCCTGCTCAAGCGCGCCAGCCCAAATGAACTTCAGCAACGTCGTATTTGAGTCGAAGGGAAGCCCCTTCCCTTTGATCCCTCCCCCGCCGGGAGGGGGGGGGGGGTAGCGGGGGGGTCCCGGGGGGGGGTCCCGGGGGGGGGGCGCCACTCAGATACGACGCCCCCCCCGCCACATACGAGAACGCATGGGTCGCCCTCCAGGGTCGGCGGCGCCGGCCGTAAGGCCTTCGCAATATATATATATATATATATATATATATATATAAGTTCACAATTTCTCAAGGGTCGACATATCCCCCCAGCCTGATGTAACTGGTCGCGCATCTTTTGTTCTGCTTTAGGCGCTTCACACGTTAGCCGCACGCAAGAACCTGCACCGCGCACACCTCGCAACAATTTCCAGCCGCTCATCTCGCTGGGTCGCCACATCCTCTGCAATCTGGGCCTCGACGCACGGCCGCCCCCTTCTGGGCGGGAGTGATTTGGCCAAGCTCGCAATATTAAAAACCAGTTAGTCTGCGCCCCCTGCTAAGCTCCTCTCCTCCCCACGTCTCCTCACTCCTTCGTTGCGGCCGGCCCCGGGGACGGCAACTTCTTGTCCGCGTCTCCGGCAAGCCAGGCCCGTCGCTGCGACAGCGACAGCCTCGGCGACACTGCCCCCGAATCTTTCGCCGCCGGGAAGCGGGCCAGCCCCAGGGACACCCCGCTCGTTGGCGGCCCCGTTCAGCCGCGACAGACCCCCCCGCATCTCATAGAGCCACCTGCCCTCGCCATCCCACAGCGCGTCGCGACATGCTCTGAAACCCTTCGGCACCGCCCTTCAAACCCGCGTCATGCATCCGAACCTGGGCACCCTCATGACAGCGCAGTGCTCAAACATCCCCGCCAGGTGCAATCTAAGCACGAGAGCCACGGCCGTCGCCGCCCCCCAATGGCTGGCCGGCGGCCGACCCGCGCGCAGCCGCGCGAAACGACAGCGTCGACAACACACGCGCGTAAGCGCACCCCGCTTTACACATCGAATTAAGCTCTCTTCCCTTTCCCAGACCCACATGGATGGGCCTGAATTCCCCACGAGTGCGGGCAAACATGCCGGCGACCTCAGGACCCGGATTCCCGCTCTCAACAAGAATCGCGTCAGGGCCCTTCATTCTCTGGGCCAGGGGCACCTGCGCCCCGTGCTCAGCGCTGGCCGCGATATCTCCACCTCGGACCACCATGGCCTGCCCTGTCTGCTCATCGCTGGTTGGGGCCAGGGAAATCCAGCGACGCGTCTCAATCAGATTGAGCTGAAGTCCGCGGCGCGAGACGCTCTCGCACGCATTGCCCATGAATCGCGCCGCCTTCCCAGGCGCGTCGGCGGCGCCATTGACCGCTCAACCGGGGTTAAAATCCTCAGCGGGCGACGCCGGGCAGCCGGAATCCCCCCGATCATTTTCGCGCGAGGGGCGGCGCTCAACAGGGCGAGGTTTCCACCGGGGCCCGCGCCGGCACATGCGCCGGCCAATGCTGGCGACGATCGAGCTGGAAGAAATGTCGAGGCCGCCAGCAGCCGCGATCGCGCCCGGCCTTGCCCCCAAGATAGGGCGAACAGAACTCGCCGCATCGCGAACTCCCCGCCGCCCCGCCGCCTGCGCCTCCCCGACGAGCTCCAACGCGCCCGTCGCCAAACCTCAACGCAAAATTCCCCCGTCGCTCTCCGGCGCCATCGACGACGGGAAAGGCGCCCCCGGGATCTGCGAATCACGAGGCCTTTCTCCAATCAGCCCCCGCCCCAGGGAGACGCACAGCATATTGATTGAAGCCCACGTAAAGAGACGCCGCCAGTACCCAAAATGAAGCAATCGCGCTTCTGCCATTCTTCTAGGCCGCCAACCGAAACCAGACCCAGCGCGTCGCAACGTCGGAGCCTCGCCCCCTGCGCCCCCCGAATTGAAGCCCCCTGCGCATTGCCCTGTCTAGCCCCGCGCCGTTTTCCATGGAAAATTGCGACGCACTTTCGCGAAGGCCTTTCCCAAGACAATGTTCCCGCGGGCAGACGCCAGTCGTCGATGCCACATCCCCCCGGCAGAACAGACTACTTCACCATGCTCTACGCCGCGCGGCCCTCTTCCAAAAAAGGCCGGCCATCGCCAGCGCGGAGATATCCTCGCAAGCCCCGCTAGATCGACAACGCGCACATCGCTCGGCAAAGCGTCTGCCCCAGCAGCTCCACCTCTCCGGGGGCGACCGAAAGCTTTCCGACACTCTTGGCGCGGTTAGATGTGCCGCGGCTTCCCAAGCTCAGTCGGCGCAAACACAGACCCTCCGTGACACCTGATAACTTCGGCCTCGGCAGCTGGCGCGGCCTTCTCGATTTCGCCAGAATGTCCTTTGGAGGCCATTGGCGCCCCCCTTCGGGGGAAGCGAGGGGAGCTCCTTCTGGGGACAACCTGAGCAGGGACATCAGCCGTCGCACGTGCCCTCCCCCATGCGAAACCCGATAGCAAAGCGCCATTCCTCCTGGGGGACCCCCACCCCCAACCAATGGCAAAGTCCACTACCCCGTTAGCCTGCTGCTCAAGATACCTGGCCCAGTGGCTACCCAGCGCTGGAAGCCAACGCTCGCTGGACTCTCAAATGAATCTGGCCAACCACAAGATCACCTCCGTAAGCTGATGTCTTTTCCGCGCGAATTCTGAAGCCACTTGAGCTGGCTGAGCCCAACCGCGGCCAGTCCGATCCCAGGGCCCCCCCACTGAGAAAGCCCCAGCCTTGTCTCCAGCTCGCTGCTCCGAGCAACGCGAGGCCCCCGCGGCCGCGCGGCTTCCCGGGCAAACTATGCCCAGGCAGCCCTGGCAACTTGCTGGCTCGCGCTTCCCAGGCGGGCGCGACCGTCAACGCGCCCCACTTGCAGCTCCATCTCAGAGATCTTCTCTCGGAAATCCCTAATGCACTCAGGATCGCTTATTCCGTTTGGGCCAGGAGGCAAGCCCATCCTAGCGCGCCTGGCAGAGCCGCGCGCCCACTCCAACCTTGCCACAACAGGGGACTGATCACCCACCCGCGATCGACGTCGACGTCGCTCATAGCCCGGAAAGTCCCCATTCCCGCAAACGAAAGCTGTCAAGCCGAATCGCTTGGAATTTCAAGTGGCCCTCGCGCCTCGGGGAATAGGTTCCTGGCCGTCGGCTTCGCAGCGTCGCCTGCAAGCGCGGCCGATGGGCACCCTTCGCAAGCTTCGACACGACATATGGCCACGCCATTCTCGGCGGCGCATATGTCCCAGGCCACCTGCACGAAATGCTCACGCTGAACGTCCGACGCCGGCAGCCCTGACCCAACTGCCGCCGGGGTCGCCCTGACCGCGTCGTTGCCCACGGTGATGGGACAGCCAGGGGGCCAAACGATGACCCACAAGGGCGCCCCACAGATTTGCCATGCACTCCAGCGTGGTACTCGCAGCCACTGGTGGCACAAGTCATGACCCATAGCACTACTGCTGGCAAGTCCTCCTCTTCGCGCCCGTCCGCACGTGTACTTCCCCGCCTTCTCACTGCTCCTTGCTACCGCCAATGCCCCGATCCCCTCCCCTCTCTGGCATGCGGGGCCGTCGGTAAAAAAATGATCGCCATCGTCTCGTGGACCGAGTCGCAGCGAAGGTAGGCCCTCAGCGCCACCTCGGCCTCCTGTTCCACAAGGCCACCTCCGGCGACAGAGCCCAACTCGTTCCACCGACCTCAGACGCAGCTGCCGAAGTGGGGGCCATGTGCCTAGATGTCGCCCCTTCTGCACATGCATGAGCCGCTTGATGTATGGCCGCAGGCTGCACAGCGCCCTACCTCGCATGTTGCAACTGTTAGAACTGTTTGAGAAAGCCCCCATGCTCTGAATAGAAAATCTCTGCATGCCATAGCGGGTTCAAGTCCTGGTAACACCCTCTCAGGGACCAAAATTCGGGGTATATGTTTTCTATAACGGGGGCCCAGTTCACCAGCTGTTTCACGCGCCTCCCTCGGCGCCCTCCTTGGCCAGCTTCGTCGGCGGCGACCTCGCGACGAGTCCCTGCGAGACCAGGTTGGCGCATCCTCATGATGTCGTTGTCCCCGAGTTTAGTGACAACGCCGATATGCTCGCTGATGCCTTCGCCGTTGACTCCACGGCTGCCGCTGCTGCGCGCGCCTCGTCGATCATGCGGCACTGCAAGTTCATGGACAAGCCCTCTTCCTTCACCTCTTTCTGCACCTGGACCGTCACCGACTCTCGCGGCACATTTCCCAGCAAGTACGGATCCTCCTGCGCAGCGCCCGTCATCCACGGTTTTGTGGGTGTTGTTGGCGATGGAATTGGCCCCATCGGTGGGTGCTGGTCCGCTCACGGCCTCTCCATTTCCTCCGTCTCCCTCGGCGGAAGTGCCACCTCTGTTGGGGTCAACAGCGGTTCCTTCCACGCTGGCGTCGTCCCTTGCGTTCGCTGGAACGACGTGTAGGAATTCCTCCGACTGGCGCACCTGGCACTGGCATTCCCGTCGGCGTTTTGGGTCCCGTGTTGGCTGGTGTTCTCGGGCCTTGTACTTGTCATCCTGTCTGCGCTGCTCCCGCCTGCGCTGCGGCGGTAAACCCCACTCGGATGTTGTATTCACCCCACCAATCATGTAACCACATGCTCCTGCTGCTGCTGTTGCTGCTGACTGTCGTTCATGATCTTCATGAACTGCGGCGCCTGCTGGATGTCTGTGTCCATCGCGGTCGTTGGCTGCTGGCCTGGCGGTATTGGCTGCCGTTGTGGTCCTGGCGCTGCTCCTGCCGTTCCACACTGGGCAGGCTGACCAGGCTGACCATGTTGTACGTGTTGCTGTCCCATCTGCTGAGGCTGGGGTTGGGGCTGTTGCGACTGCTACTTTTTCACCTCCTCCTCCTCCTCCTCCTCCTCCTCCTCCTCCTCTTTCTCCTCCCCGACCTCGTGATCAGGTCCCCTCCCCTCCTTCTCAGCCTGCGCCTACTTTATTCCCTGCTCGCCTGCCGTGCGCCGTTTGCCTCCCCTGCTCGCCTCCTCGCGGTGTTATCGTCCTCCTCATCCTCGCCCTCCTCCTCCTCCTCGCCCGTGTGTCGTCCCCCTCTCGTCCATCAGCCTGCGTCTCCTTCCTCCCCACCTGGAGGTCTCCAGATGTCTTGGGAGACCTCCAAGAAATAGTGAGCACACTCCAAAACGTCGATGTGCTAGCACCGTCCTCCGCCTCTTCCTCACCGTGCTCCTCGTCTTCCTCCTCCTCCTCCTCCTCCTCCTCCTCCTCCTCCTCCTCCTCCTCCTCCCCCTGGTGCGTGAGCGAGTGTGTGCGGCAAAGGCGCTCTCCTGCACAAGGCGTGCACCTGCTGGCCCGGCTGCAGCGGCAACGCCGGCATCCCCTCTGGCACGATCTCCGCGCGGGTGGGCACCCGCAGGGAGGAGGGAGGGGAGGGAGGAAGAAGAGGGAACGAGAAAGAAGAAGGAATGAGCAGGGAGGAAGAGGGAAGAGCGGAGGAAGGAAAGAGGAACAGAAAGGAGAAAGGAGGAGGAGGAGGACGTGGAAAGAGGAAGAAACCGGAGGCGCCGGTCCAGGCGGGGGCGGTGAGGTGCGTGCACCTGTGCGCGCGTGAAGCCATCGCCTCTCAGATGCGGCAAAACTCTGGCCTACGCGAAGACACGTGGTGTCGTTGATGCCGCAGCCTTGGTAAAGCCGTGGTCGTGGAATGTCGTTGATATCGTGATGCGTGCTGATGCAATCGCGCGGGCCCGACCTGCGTAAGGCCCTGTGTATGTCGTGGAACCCTTTTCCCAGCGTGACGTATCCACCCTCGTTGTTTGGAGCTCTGCTTGGGGATTCAAGCCAACGCTCGTCGTGTCCAACGGTCCGTCGGGTGTGGAGCTTTCTGGGCAGCACATCGCTACAGCATCTGGCGTAACATGGACACCTGCGTGTGGTTGCCTTGAGACTCCAGTGTATGGTCGTCGAAGTCGTTGGCCACACGCACGCACGCACGCACGCACGCACGCACGCACACACACACACACACACACCACCAAAAGGCACATACACAAACACAGACACATACATAAGCAGACAAACACAAACACGCACACACACACACACACACACACACACACACACACACACACACACACACACACGCACGCACGCACGCACGCACGCACGCACGCACGCACGCACGCACGCACGCACGCACATTTTCTGGTCGTCGCGGGCAGGCGCAGCGCCATGCTGTTAGGTAAACGACTGTGGACGCGCGCGCGCGCGCCGACTGAGCAAGCAAGAGGCCGGGCCGGACCCTCAGGGGGCCGGTGGCGGGGCAACAGCCGCTGGCCAGCAGCGGCAGCCGCGGGGCAAGAGGCAGCGGAAGCTGAGGCGGGCGTGGGGGGGCGGGCGCCAGGCGAGCGGCCGAGGAGCAGCGGGGGCGGCGGAGGACGCCGGGAGCGGCGCGAGAGGCAGGAGCCCGCCTGAGTTAGGCGAGCGGGGAGAGCGCCCGAGGCGAACGCCAAGGCGGGGGGGAGGAGGCGCCCGGAAGCGGGGGCGGCGCGAGGCCAAGGCAGCCAGCGGGCGGGGGAGCAGACCGTCGGAGCGGAGAGGGGCGGGAGGCAGAGAGAAGGAGCCCCGAGCCAGCCCGCGCGGCAAGACCGCGACGCGGCAAGCAAAGGGGAGGGGCGGGCGGCGCCTGGCGATCAGCGCAGGTCCACCCCGGCGATGAGACGCGCACACGCACACCCACACACACACACACTTTTGGAGGTCGCTGCCTCGCGCGCAGCGACGAGGCGGAACAAGTAACTCCGAGCGAACTAGCAACGCGCGCCGCCGGCCCCTCAGAAGTTGGGGCAGGGATCCAAATCAATCATGCCATGCGCATAACTGGGCATGGGCAGCGATTGTGGGGAGCAGCCAGCAGTAACCTGGAGGTGGAAGTGGAGGCGCAGTCCAGCCAGGCGGCGACGAGGAGAGGTCAAGGGAGGAAAAGGGTAAGGACAGGCAAGGCCAGCGGTGAAGACACTGTGGAAGCACAGCTCAACCAGGAGACAACGCAGGACGCAGTGCGTGCAGCCGAGCACGGCGGCAAGGCGAGGCAAGGCACGCCCAGGAGACATGGTGGCGTCCCTGTGCGATGGAGAGGGAGAGCGCAGCGGCCTCCTCTGCCCAAACAGCGCAAAGGCAAAGGCGATGGGACACACACACACACACACAAAACACAAACACGCACACACGCACACACACACACACACACGTGCACGCACGCACGCACGCACGCGCACGCACGCACGCCCGCCCGCCCGACCGCCCGCCCGCCCGCACACACACACACACACACACACTCACTTACTCACTCACTCACTCACTCACTCACTCACTCACTCACTCACTCACTCTCACACACACACACACACACACACACACAGCAAACGTTGGAAACATCGTGGGGTGGGTCGTCCCTCTTAGCGCTTGCGTCCGGTAAGTTGGGTGCAGGCCGTGTTGCTGTAGTGCGCCTTCGCGGTGTGGAGAACTACGTAATCAAGTGCCTGTGTTCTGCGCAACTGCTGTTCCAGTGGTTGAGTCAGTGCCCAGGTTCCCGCGCCGCACAGCATAGAGAGGTCACGCGGCTCCCATAGAGCCTTTGTCGATACATCAGTGGGTGATGTCTGCTGGTCAGCTCCTGAATGTGGGTTAGAAGGCATGCCCAATTGGCTTAGATGGGATGGAAGGAGAGCACCCGCAAGCAGGAAACAAGAGGAAAGATTGTATAGGGCCCTGAATAATCCCACCAGCCCTCTGGGCGTAGGTGGTCTAGAGCAGATCCTCTTCCACCCCTCCCTCTTCCCCCTTGGGGAGGGGTTTACCCCTCCCCCTACCCCCTCCCCTGGACCTGGACGGGGGGGGCCGCGGGTAGTTAGAGCGTCCCAGATGGCCCAAGACGGCTCCAAGAGCGCCTCAGAGAACCCAAGATGAGCTCCAAGATGGCTCAAGATAGCGCAAGATCGCTCGAGATGGCTCCTAAGATGGTTCCAAGAAGCCCAAAGACGGCCCCAAGATAACTCCAAGTGGCCAAACAGCTCCCCAAGGAGGCCCCGAAGAGGCCAAAATCGTCCCAAAACCTAAGGAAAATCAATGATTTTTGCTTTCTCGCCTTTTCGCTTCCGATGGCCATCCGAGGCCTGGAGATGGCTCCAAGATGGCCCAAGAGGGCCCCAAGAGAGCCCCAAAAGAGCCCCAAGACGGCCCCAAGAGCGCCCAAGAGCACTCCAAGAGCGTTCCAAGAGGGGTCCAAGAGGCGATTTTAGGGGCTTCCGAGGGGGGCGCTAATTAAACCCCCCCTCTTGTTTGATCGACTCCCTCCAAGATGGCCCCAAAAGCGCCCCGAAGGCTCCCCAGAGCGCCTCAAGAGGGTCCCAAGAGGCGCCCAAGATGCCCCAAGGCGCCCAAAAAGCCCTCCAAGAGGCCCTCAAAAGACCCCCAAGAAGCTCCTTCCCCTCCTCCTCCTCCTCCTCCGATTCTTCCTCCTTCTCCGTCCTCCTCCTCCTCCTCCTCCTCCTCCTCCCCTCCTCCTCCTCCTCCTCCTCGACGACGACGACGACGACGACGACGACTCCTCTTCCATCCTCCCCCTCTCGGGGTCTGTGACAGCTTCCCCCGCCCTTTGTTATTCTGCATGCTCCCCGACTTCCCTGATCACCTCAACTCCCCTGAGCATCGTTTCTGGATGGGCTGGTGGGGATACGCGAAGCGTCAACAATTACGACTGCGACGTTTTGATACCGCCTGGATGCGGCAAAAGAACGACAGCCAGAAATGGTGTGGCCGCTGAGACCTTTGACACGGTGGTCCACCTACACCGCTCGGATCAGGGGGGGGGGGGAAAAAAAAAAAAAAAAAAAAAAAAAAAAAAAAAAAAAAAAAAAAAAAAAAAACTGGCGAAGGACCCAACCACATGCAGTTGCGAATGACGCTTTGTGGGTGCCGCTTTCGGTGGAGCTCCGTATGGGGCCACGAAGCGCGGGAGGGGCGTGCCGTAATGGGTGGGGGAGACGCATGCGGGCGGTGCCACTGGTGCCATCGGTGGAGCTCCTTGGGGCCACGAAACGCTGTACTGGGTGGGGGAAACGCATGTGGGCGGTGCCACTGGGGCCTTCGGTGGAGCTCCCTGTGGGGCCACGAAACGCTGTACTGGGTGGGGGTGACGCATGCGGGCGGACCCACTGGCACCTTCGGTGGAGCTCCGGATAGATCCACGAAACGCTGTCCTGGGTGGGGGGACGCATGCGAACACCCTCAGTGGGGCCTTCGGTGGAGCTCGCCATGGCGCGACGAAGCGCTGCCCTGGGTGGGGGGACCGCATGCGCCCATCCCCACTGGGGCCTTCGGTGGAGCTCCCTATGGGGCCACGAAACGCTGCCCTGGGTGGGGGAACCGCATGCGGGCACACCCACTTGGGCATACGGTGGAGCTCCCCATGGGGCCACGAAGCGCTGCCCTTGGTGGGGGAACCGCATGCGCCCATCCCCACTGGGGCCTTCGGTGGAGCTCCCTATGGGGCTACGAAACGCAGCCCTGGGTGGGGGAACCGCATGCGCCCACCCCCACTGGGGCCTTCGGTGGAGCTCCCGATAGAGCCACGAAACGCTGTCCTGGGCGGGGGGGAACCGCATGCGCCCACCACCACTGAGGCCTTCGGTGGAGTTCCCTATGGGGCCACGAAGCGTTGCCCCGGGTGGGGGGACCGCATGCGCCCACCCCCACTGGGGCCTTCGGTGGAGCTCCCTATGGGGCCACGAAGCGCTGTCCTGGGTGGGGGGAACCGCATGCGCCCACCCCAACTGGGGCCTTCGGTGGAGCTCCCTATGGGGCCACGAAACGCTGCCCTGGGTGGGGGACTCGCATGCGGGCACACCCACTTGGGCATACGGTGGATCTCCCTATGGGGCCACGAAGCGCTGCCCTGGGTGGGGGAACCGCATGCGCCCACCCCCACTGAAGCCTTCGGTGGAGCTCCCTATGGGGCCACGAAGCGCTGCCCTGGGTGGGGGAACCGCATGCGCCCACCCCCACTGGGGCCTTCGGTGGAGCTCCCTATGGGGCCACGAAACGCTGCCCTGGGCGGGGGAACCGCGTGCGCCCACCCCCACTGGGGCCTTCGGTGGAGTTCCCGATGGAGCCACGAAACGCTGTCCTGGGTGGGGGTGAACCGCATGCGCCCACCCCGAGGCCTTCGGTGGAGTTCCCTATGGGGCCACGAAGCGCTGCCCTGGGTGGGGGAGCCGCATGCGCCTACCCCCACGGGTGCCTTCGGTGGAGCTCCCTATGGGGCCACGAAACGCTGCCCTGGGTGGGGGAACCGCATGCGCCCACCCCCACTGAAGCCTTCGGTGGAGCTCCCTATGGGGCCACGAAGCGCTGCCCTGGGTGAGGGGGATCGCGTGCGCCCACCCCCACTGGGGCCTTCGGTGGAACCCCCTATGGGGCCACGAAACGCTGCCCTGGGTGGGGGAACCGCATGCGCCCTCCCCAACTGGGGCCTTCGGTGGAGCTCCCTATGGGGCCACGAAACGCTGCCCTGGGTGGGGGAGCAGTGGCTCCCTATGGGGCCACGAAACGCTGCCCTGGGTGGGGGAACCGCATGCGCCCACCCCCACTGGGGCCTTCGGTGGGCTCCCTATGGGGCCACGAAGCGCTGCCCTGGGTGGGGGAACCGCATGCGCCCACCCCCACTGGGGCCTTCGGTGGAGCTCCCTATGGGGCCACGAAGCGCTGCCCTGGGTGGGGGGACCGCATGCGCCCACCCCCACTGGGGCCTTCGGTGGGGTTCCTATGGGGCCACGAAACGCTGTCCTGGGTGGGGGGGAACCGCATGCGCCCACCCCCACTGAGGCCGTCGGTGGAGCTCCCTATGGGGCCACGAAGCGCTGCCCTGGGGGGGGGAACCGCACGCGCCGGGGGCCTTCGGTGGAGCTCCCTACGGGGCCACGAAACGCAGCCCTGGGTGGGGGAACCGCATGCGCCCACCCCCACTGAAGCCTTCGGTGGAGCTCCCTATGGGGCCACGAAGCGCTGCCCTGGGTGGGGGAATCGCATGCGCCCATCCCCCACTGGGGCCTTCGGTAGAGCCCCTATGGGGCCACGAAACGCTGCCCTGGGTGGGGGAACCGCATGCGCCCTCCCCAACTGGGGCCTTCGGTGGAGCTCCCTATGGGGCTACGAAACGTGTGAGGGGCGTGCCGAGAGCAGAGGCAAGGAGGGGGAGGAGGAGGAGGGGGAGGAGGGCGGGAAGGAGAAGGAGAGGAACGCGGGGCGCCGTCTCTTCAAAACGAGGACCCAACACCACAGGATGGTTGGGAAAAACATGAGATGGCGTGGAAGAAATGGATGCCGACTCGGAGACTGACAACTGGACGTGAAAAACGGCCACAACATGGAAAACTCTGACAACCCCCACTTGTCAGGGGTGCCAAGGCGTGATACCTATGGCTGTCGCCACCCCTCCTTCCCCCTCCTCCAGGGCTGCAAGCTCCTCAACGCATCTGTGAGCAGCTCATAGCCCCCAGCTCCAGCTCCCGACGCCTCCAAGATGCTCCAGGTGTGGTCCAAAACGGCGTCCTTGAGGCCACATGGAAACCACGTAGGCCACACAACAGCTCCAGGGGTCTCCAATACAGCCCCACGAGGACCCCTAAGACCTAAGATGGGACCCAAACGGCAAACATAATTGATGTTCCACTGTCGGTGTTCTCCGCTTGATAGCCCACGGCACGAGAGGCCCTCCAGACTGGCCCAAGAGGCCGCCAAGAAGCCCAGAGACGCCCCGAGAGGAACCACAAGGCCAAAAAAAACCGAACAGCCCCTCAAGAGGAACTCAACAGGGGCCCAACCGATGCTGGAGATAGGAACTCGGAGGTGCGCCAAGCCCTCCCCCACAAGCTGACCCCCATGACACCCCACATGCCCCCAGGAGGCCCCCAAGGGGACCCGAGAAACCCTCAGAAAACAGACAAGAGCCCTGGAAAGCCGCCCAAGAGGTCGCCCCCGAGACCTCCAAGAGGCCTCAAGAAGTCCGCAACAAAGGCAGAGGAAGAGGAGTAGGACGAATCAGCAACACGTTCTTGCTGCACAACGTCCCATTAAAAACGATCCTACCCCGTCCGGGAGTCAAGTAGTCGGAAATCAGGGGTTTGGCAATCACGAATCAGCAACACGTAAACGCAAAAAGCAGGACGGGAAAGCGGCTAACAAATGCGACATCAGAAGCCGCACATACCCTTATCTGGGGTCGACTGAATGGCTTAAGCCTCTTGGGTCAAAGCAAGGCTGTGGGCAAATCTGCCCCGTCGTATTTCAGACGCCCCCATTGCAGGACGGACCAAAAGGATAATGATGAGGCGCGAGGGCATAAGAAAAAGGGCAAAAGGAAGATACGGAAGAAGAGGGGAGGAGGAAAAAGAATGAAGATGGAAGAGAGAGATAGGAAGGTAAACGGAAGGAGAAGGCAGGAGGAGCTTTTAGAGGAGAAAGAGCGGGAAGAAGCGGTGAAGCACCCACACGTTGTGCTTGCCCCAGTGCAGCTGTCGCAGCCTCCCGTCTGCGTCCGCCCACACCACGGACAAGAAGCCCTCCCTCCCGCATCCACTCACCCTGGTCTTGCTGGTCACGTCCGGATCAGAAATGACGAAGAATTTCCAATCGCCCCATGCTAGCAAATCCTCGTACAAGACATTGATCCCGCCGATCCCGGGCCAGACCTCGGGCACGGCCAAAAGTGCCCCTCCCGTGACGACCCCCACTCCGTGACGCGGATGACCCGACAGGGCCTGCAGGGCGACCCGACGGGGTTGATTTGCTGTAGGGCGTTCAGCCCCCCTCCCCTCCCCGAAGACCATGCCATTGAACTCACCCGGCCGCGTGATTCCGTGGAGAGGTGTCCCCGGCGAAATGGGAACCGCCAGGGGCAGCTCCCTCTCGGCAGTCCACGCGGTATTCTCGTCCAGGTGCACGCTCTTGACCTTCTTGTCGGCGGCCCAGAAAACACCCACGAGGTCGGGCTGCCTGCACACAGCTATAGGGACATCTTCACGCAGGAGGCCGGCGGCTAGGATCGGCAGGACGAGTGGATAAGAGCACCAGCGAGCACTCATAGAGGCTGCGGTGTCAGCTGGGCAAAAAGCCTGGCCTGGGGTGCAACCCACAACGGGTCTGAGCAAAGTGGCCACACAACGTATCATGGAGCGCATGTAGTGGCGATGCTGCTCGCATGGACGACACGTTTCTGCAGGAGTGCGTGAGCGCGCGAATCCCACCAGCCCTGTGGGAATGAGTTGTTTAGCGAGTTTCACATTGCAGCCCCTCGCCTTCCCCCTGCCCTGATAATTATCCTGCTAATATCTCATCGGTTGTGCCGATGGTGGTCCCAATGGTTGTCACGATGGTTGTCCCGATGGTTGCTCAAATGGTTATCCCGATATTTGTGACGATAGTTGTCCCGCTGTTGTCCCGATGGTTGAAATGGTTGTCCCAATGGCTGTTGCGCGTGTCGTGGTTGACTCGTGGTCGTCCCGTGGTTGTTCCGCGGTTGTCCCAGTGATTGTCCCAATGGTTATCCCAATGGTTGTCTCGATGGCTGCCACTTGGTTGTTCCAATGGTTGTCCCGATAACCTTCTCGATGATTATCCAAAGGTTGTCCCGAGGGTGTCCTATGGCTGTTTCGTGGTTATTCCGTGGTTGTACCGTGATTGTCCCGTGATTATCCCGCGAGTGGTTGACAATTGATCAATGCGTAAATCCGATATTTAGTGATAGCAATACAACGAATATTGAGGTGGGTGGACATTGAGAGGGAAACCAGTAGGGTACCGAAGGGAACCGATAAACAATATGATTCTTTGGGAGTGATGTCGATAGGTCTTGGAATCGCTCGGCAACGAGACAGTCCAATGGAAAGTGGAATCGATATATGAATAGAGAGATCGCTCGATTGATCTATTGCGCATACAACGTGGCGCCAATCGCAAACCTGAAATTGCTGCACACATCCCCCGAACCTCCAAATCACTCGAAAGGGTGTTCCAACAGGTAGCAGATGCTCTTACCAGCGATGATGAGGACGACAACAAAGAGGACGAGAACGAAGAGGATCATGGGAGGATAATACTAGAGATGATGAGAAGGCGACGAGGAGACGAGGACGGGAGGTCGGAGGATGGGAAGAGACGGCTGGACAGGATGACGGAGACGAAGAAAGGGAATTGGCAGCCGACATGATCACGAAGAGGATGAGGATGTGGATGAGGGCCGAGGTAAACACTAGTGATCTAGATTTGGTGGTAACGATGAAGAGGCAAAATGATATGTTTTCTTGGGTGGGCGATCGCTATTTGTGGGCTGTATCGTACACACAATATGACGAGGCACCGGGACATCCCCGGGTGCCTCCGCGCCCTCCAACTCCTGTTCCTCCTTTTCGTGATACTCCTAAGCCTCCTCTTCTTCCTCATCCTGGCCCCAGGCCCTGACTCTCTCCTCCACGCTCTCTCCAGTGTTCCACCGACGCTTTACTATGGAAAATTCCCCCCCTCTTCCTCCGGAACCTGGGGGTCCCCCCCCCTCCGAAAATTCCCCCCCTGCTGGACCCCCCCCCGCCCCCCTTCCCCCCGGTAAACCCCCCCCCCCTCCTGAAAAACCGGGGCGGGTCACTACCGGTTCGAACCCCCCCCCTTCTCCCCCCCTTCCAGACTACCGGTTCGAACCCACCCCCCAGAAAACCAGAGAGGGATCACTACCGGTTCGAACCCCCCCCCTTCCGGAAAACCGGGGGGGATCACTACCGGTTCGAATCCCCCCCGAGGGGCCCCCCCTCACAAACCGGGGGGGGGCACTACTGGTTCGAACCCCCACCCTCTCGAAAACCGGGGGGAGTCACAGTTCGACCCGCCCCCCCCCTCTCGAAAACCGCGGGGGGGTCACTACCGGTTCGGACCCCTCTCCCCCCCAACGCTCACCGCCAGTACACAACTCTGGATCCTTACCACCGTCCGCACCACATTCCCCACTGATGTCCCCAGCACCACTGTCCTCACCACCCCTGCCCCCACTGTTCCCACCACCGTCACCACTGTCCTCACCAGTGGCCCCACCAGTGTCGCACTGTCCCGACTGTCCCTCCCCACCACTGTTCACACCACGGTTCCGCTCTCCCCACTTTCTCCACGGCCCCAACCACAGTCCCACTGTCCCCACTGTCCCACTGTTCCCGCCTCTGTCCCACTGAGCTGTCCCACTGGTCCCACCACTGTCCCCACTGTCCCCACCACTGTCCCTACTGTACCTCTGTCCCATTATCCCACCGCCGTCTTCGCCACCGCCCTCACCACTGTCGCCACCACCACTGTACCCTCCACTGTCCCAGCGTTTCCTCCACATTCCCACTGTCCCCACACCACTGTCCCCACCACCACTGTCCCCACCACTGTCCCACTATCCCCACTATTCCAGCCATTGTCCCCACTGTCCCACCAGTGCCCCCCACCGGTGTCTCACTGCCCCCACTCTCCCCACCATTGTCCCACCACGGTCCCACTCTCCCCACTTCCCCCACGGTCCCCACCGCTCTCCCACTGTCCCCACTGTTCCCACCACTGTCCCACTGTCCCCGCCGTTGTCCCCGTGTGCTGTCCCACCGCCCCCACTGGCCCCATCACTATCCCACTGTCCCCACTGTCCCCACCACTCTCCCCACCGTACTACTGCCCCACCACTGTCCTCACCACCGCCTTCACCAATCCCCACCACTACCGTCCCCACCACGATCCCACTGTCCGCACCACTGTCCCGCCGTCCCCTCACCACTGTCCCCACCACCACTGTCCCCACCACTGTCCGCACCACTATCCCACTGTCCCCGCACCACTGTCCCCACCACCACCGTTCCCACCACTGTCCTTACACCCCCACCATTCCCCAACTGTCCCGAGAAGCGGGCATCGCTTGCCGGCGGCGGGGGGGGGCAGTGACCCCCCCCCGGTTTTCAAGGGGGGGGGTTCGAACCGGCAGTGACCCCCCCCCGTGTTCGAAGCGGGGGTTCGAACAGGTAGTGGCCCCCCCCTTTTTCATGATGGACTGGGGGGAGGTTCGAATCGGCAGCGACCCCCCCCCAGTTTTCGACGGGGGGGGGGACGGGCTAGGACACCCCAGTGGCCCCTGGGTTTTCCGCCAGCAGCGGTAGAACACGCTCTTTCTGATATCCGTTCCTCCTCTATCCTACTGCTCGGTCTCCTCTTCTCCTCCACCCATTCGGCGCCCCCCCCCCGTGAATATGACGGAGGTTGCTGGAACGCTCGAGCGGTGCAAATTCGGGCAGCGCCTGACATCAGGCACGGTCGAGCGAAAGACCTTGACACTTTGGACCACAATATACAACGCTGAGAGCAGCAAAACGAGAAATCCCTGGCTTGCGCGCTGCAATTGTCCACGCCGCGGGCGGAACACCAGCTCCACCAAAACAGGCGCCGTTGAACCATCCTTCCCCTCTTAATCCTTTCCATCCCTTCCCTCCCCTCCATCACGTCCCCCTCCACCTTGATCAGAAATTCCAGCTGCGCCGCAGCCTCCCGCACCCGGAGGTGGCCGCCCCCACTTGACAAAGGGGTGCGGCACCCCCCGCGCCGCCCAGCCTGGCGGCGCCAGTCTGAACCGCCGCGCGGGGCGCCAGGGATGCAAGCACCCCCAGGAGCGGGAGGGTGGGGCGCAAGCGCGCGCGCCGTCCGCAACGGCGGGACGCAAGCGCAGACGCCTGCAAAATGCAAGCGCCAACGCCTGCAAACCGCACGACCCCGAGGCGCGCCGCCGTCCGCCCCGACGCGATCCCCGCGGCGCGCCTGCACGGGCGCGCATCGCGATGCAACCAGGAGCATCAACGCTGCCTCGTGCGCGCGGTGGCCCTCTTTCGTGGGGCCGCGCGCAGCCACGCACATGCAGTCGCACCCCCTTTCGCGCGCGCGGGCCCTTCGCGTGGGGCCGCGCGCCGCGAGACGCAACAAACAAAAAAACGGGGGGCGGCCCGCGCGCACTGCTCGCACGCCCTCGCGCGGGCCAGGCGCGGGCGCAGATTGTGCCCGCGCACAACGCAGCACAAGCGAGCGCGCGCTTTCGATGGCGTTGCGCGCCCACTTACAAAGGCGGGCAACTGGTATGACTCAGCAGGGCTTGGTTCGTAATGTCATAGTCTCTGTCACAGCGTTAGCGCCATGGCGGGTCGTGGTTTGCTGGTCCCCCCCTCCCCTACCCCTGACCCGTCCACCCCACCGACACATCGATATTGCCCAAACGGTGCTTGAACTTAGGGGTTCACTTTTGTGTTCAAAGGCCTGCGTGGCGGTCCAGCGGTTATTTTGTCGCCTTTCCGCCTCGTCGCCGCCTCGTCGCCGCCTGTCGTCTGGGCCTGTGTGGCTTTCTGGCAGTTATGCCGTCACCGTCGTCGCCCTGCCGCCACCTCGTCACCGGAACAAGGATTGCACCATCTAGATCGCGCACCATAGAATGCCCTACATACACTGAGAGCCATATGTTGCGCAGCATAGATTACACAGCTTCGGGTGCACCACAAAGATTGCCCTGCATTGATTGCTGCACATAGATTCTCCGTTCTAGCGTTATCGGTATCCCTTTTGGGTATCTAATCATATATGATGATGACCACAGGTCCATCCGATATATGAATTTACACTATCCCACGTGGGCCGGTATCCCCCCCCTGAGATTCCCTTGTATAAAACACACACACACACACACTGTGCGGTGACATTTTTTGTTCTAACATAACACTTTTTTTTCACGAATCCCTTGCATAAAACGGGACGAGGTGCGCACGCGCGCGTCGTCGCGCGCGCATGCCGATATCCTTCAAAAACCTTCGGTGCTGGAAGGATTTCGCAATCGAGCATCCCAAAAAAAACATACAAAAACACATGCTTTCGCAACACCGATTTGCTAAAAAAGCTTACGCGCGAGCTCCTGCAAAATCTTGAGAAAACCATTGGTTTTCCAAGATTGTCACAAAATGCTACCAAACGGGCTTCGCGCGCGCATGTCGAAATCTGTCGAACGCCCTTGCGCGTGTGCCGTCACGAGAATCCTCTGCAA